AACAACTCATGAACATTCTGATCTCAAATGGCATAACATGAACATATGAACTGATTTAAATTGAAAACATGAAGTTTTGCTCAATGAACGGAACTTGGCCGCGGCGGACGCACCATGCGCCGCCGACGGCGTTAAGCCGTTTTCACGACCGAATCTCACTTCCTCTCGGCAAAACATACCTAACTGAACATGATCAATGATTTACCGAATAAAATCACATAAAGTGCTCGAGGAAAATGAACTTATCATACTTAACACTCGTGTACGGCCCGTGGTGCGCTACGTGCGCAACCACATCACCTTTGGCCGACACACCGAATAACATGAATAATTCACCGAACACTTAAACTTATCTGAACATGATGTAATATATAAAGGCTAAACATACGAGGATAGCTCGGAGAATTCAACTTAGAACATGACATGACTTGGCACGGCTTCTCGCACGGCCTTAACAACATATGACACGCATGAACGCCTAAACGGAAAACTGAACTTAATAAACGTGATAATCTCAGCCTACAACCGTCGGAAATTTACCTCCGATTAAGCTTGAGTGATAACACTCCTCGGATTCCCGTGCTCGGTCGTGACCTTCCGCTTGCATGCGATAGAATGCTTCTTGCCGTGTGGTGCGATACTAGCGATAGCTTGCGATGCGTGCTGAACTTACGGTGCTAAACTTGATAGGTACTCTTAATCTTACCAAACTCTTCTTTGCTGAACTCTCTACTCTCACTTACGCTGAATTATGAGGAACATATAAGGCTAAAGGAGTGGAAAATTCATCCAACTCTCATATATATATATAAAACCGATTGAGGATAATTATGATGGGGTGATTGGTGTCATGCTCTTAGCCTAACACTTGGAAATAATACAAGGATACTTAGGTGACTAATCTCCCTCTTAAGTCCTCACAATGCCACGTATAATTGCCTTAAATATGAAGAATCAATTATATGACTTACAAGCTACATCCGTACGACATTAACATAATATGGACAAAATTCCATATGGCTTAAAGGCTTAATTACGTGATTAATTACTAATTAATCACTTAATCATGTTTAATTACTTAATTAAACATAATGCTTAATTACCAAAATTATTCCAAACGTAAACGGTACATCGAAAATAATTTCCGGTAATCTCGACTGAAATGACTGAAAATAATTAATTCCGAAAATTAATATCGGAACTAAAAACATAACTAACATGACGGGATATCGCTGACTGAATAATTAATTCTGGACTCATTAATTAATTAAACGAATCGGAATTAAATCTGAAAACTTATTCGGTTACTAAAATAAGTAAACCGAATAACCTATCGACTAATAGTCGAACTTAGAATATAACTGACTGATTAATCTGAACTTGAACATGAACATGATCATTTATTAATAAAGGCTATCTTAAAACTAAAAGCTAGTATTTCCTTTATTAATAAAATACGGGGCGTTACAAACGGTCACGACCCATCGACTAGGCTAAAATGAGTCTACCTATCACAAAGTTGGAGATCGCCCACCACTAGGCACCGTCTCATGACTCACACATACATTCACAGAACACAAAGTATAAAAATCTTACCTCAATTATAGCATAGCAAATTTTAGATTAAAACCCACCTGGAAATCGAGGTAGAATATCACACAAAAGCAAGTTCGTAGGTCGAAGGCTCGATTTCTCAAACACCTACATTTAAGCGAGATAATATATCAATAATCTATCTCACTACTCGAATTTAACATAAAACCCATACTTAATAAAAATTAAGATTTAAGGGTTTTTATAAGATTTTTCGTGGACATGGAACTCTCTAATTTAAAAGGAAAGAAACTCGGAAAAGGCAATGGGTTCTCGAGACTTAAAAATATTTTCTCCAAATTTTTCTCATTTGAAAATAATTTTTGAATTTGAAATCGGTACGAAAAACGACTTCCGAAACTCAAAATCAGACTAAAAAGTCGAGATGGGCAGCCTGTCCAAACACTGGCCACAAACTGCCAGCAATTTGGGCCTCTCACGTGCTAATGGGCTGCGGCTGAGGTAAAGGCAGCCCAACACGCGGCCCGCTACAAGGCTGGAAGGAGGATGGGCTTCTCGGGCTAGAAGAACGGGCTGATCAGGCTGCTGCTGGAGAGAGGGGACGGGCTGCGCGCGGGCTGAGTTCGGGCCATATGGCCCGCGCGCTGAAGCAGCCTTTAATAATAAAAAAAATAAAATTTTTTGCAAAGGCTGGGGATCGAACCCCTGACAACCCACACAAACATGCGCATAGCTCACCACTGCGCCACTCGCTCAATCGCACAATATTATGCAACCAAAACATAATGAATTTTCAAAATGAGGCCTGTAACTGGGAAAGAAACGTACAGAGTCTGGGACTAACTATATCACACCACAAAAAACAGCTAAGTGAAAACAACACCGGGGCTGAAATCGACGACCAAATTTGACGACGAGATATCTAACGGCAACGAGATTCGAGAGTTTATCAAAAATAACATATTTTTAGAGTTTCGAAACATATTTTTAACAACTGTTTTTGGCTTGAAAACGGAACAACCAAAATAAAAGCAAAATGAATGATCGGGGGTTCGAACGACCCCAACAACTTAACGACGGCTCAAAATAGCGAAACAAGACTCCGAATTTATGCAAAATAGTCACAGCAACATTATGATATTTACTTTTTACAGAATCGAGAGTTCCAATAATCCCCAAATAATCCTCGAACATATGAAATACATAACGAACATACGAAATACATAACGAACATACGAATAATCAATTAAACCGATTTCAATCAAGAATTCCATCGACGAGCACGATATATGAGTAAACGTATAACATCAAACCGAATTGAAATTTACGAGAGAGTTTCGAAAGATTTTTACCCTACTTCGGGAAATAGACGAGCTTGGGTGGGTTAAGGGACCAAACGAACAAAATTCAAACGAGCGGGTCCAAAACTTAAAAATTCCTCGAGAACCCGTACTGAAATTCGAAGAATAGCTCGCGAATTGGACTGCTAAGGGTCGGCGACGGTGGAGCTGCTAGACGGGGCTTGCCGGAAAGGAAGAGGGTCGGGTTTGCTGGCGTTTTGCGAAGGAATCGCTGGATCGACGGACTGAAAGCTTGAGGTCGGCAACGTGCTGCGACGTAAGGACGCCGGTTATCGGGCTTCGCTCGCCGGGAACAATGGCGGAGGTCTTACAGGCGGCGATAATAATTTTTTTTTTTTTTGAAAGTAGGGAGAACAGAGAGATCAAGAGATGATGGAGAGTCGAGTTGCTGCAACTGATATAGGCGAGAGGGAGAGATCGAGGGAGGACGTGCGTGGAGGATTTCCCACAATTTAAACGGATTTGATCCAACAAGGAAGACTCGGTCGCGATGAGAGAAGAAGGGAAAAAAATATATATCTGATCGGACATTGAACGAGAACAATTAATATGGGCTCAATTAAAATGGACCCAACATTTTTAATCTCCAAGTGGATCAAGGATTTGAAATTGGGCCAAAATGATGAATAGGAATTTGG